CCGCTGTCACATTTCATCGAGGGACAATGACTGGTTTGATCATCAGCAGAAATGTCACATCCCGCCGTCACATTTCATTGAGGGATAATGACTGGTTCGATCATCAGCAGAAATGGCACATGCCGCTGTCACATTCCATTGAGGGATAATGATTGGCTTATTCATCAGCGGTGATGGCACATCCCGCTGTCATTTGCGCTTTATCGATCCTCTTCTCTTTGACATTCAGAGCACTGGGCACTGTTTGAATTAAATAGTTGGTTTCCCCTTATCTGTGCATGTTCTGAGTCCCTTTGCCTCTCTTTCTATTCCTCTCTCTCTCCCTCTCTCTCTACCTCTCTCTCTCTGTCTCACACACACACACACATACACACACTTGCACAAACATACCCGCTCGCTCGCTGTGTGCTACTGTGCGCTGTATTCGGGAAAACGACCGTTGAAGATGCTGATTTCAGCAGTGCGGCTCCTCTCCCACACACTCACACACAAGCACTCACTCACTTGCACAGACATACCTGCTCGCTCGTCGTGTGCCACTGTGTGCTATAGTCGAGGAAAAGACTGTTGAAGATGCTGATTTCAGCTGTGCAGGTCCTCTCTCTTCCTCCCTCACACACTCACACACTCATTCCCGCTCTCGTTCTCTGTAGGCTCCCTCTCTCTATGCCCGCTCGCTCTCTCTCTCTTTCAGTCCCACTCTCAGGTTTCTTCGCTCTCATGCTCACTCTAGCATATTATCCTAGCCGCCGTTACATCTGCAATGGATGGCTGATGCACTTAACATTCCAAGTGTTCTGATGCACTTCTATTCAGCGTTCCATTTGATGTTGCACGCGTCAGATCTCTACCCTTTTCACAGTAGTGATCAGCTCGAATCTTGTCAGTTCATACTTAGCAGGATGCCATCAGCATCTTGGTGGATTGTAGACTGTATGTCCCTGTCTCTCGTTTGTCACCGAATGTTGTAGGTTAATGTTTTGCCCGGTTCACGAACATATGTCTCAATCCGCACAAGCCACAGATTTGCAGACTATGTTTCATCATTTGTATGGACTCATGGTTTTAGCCAGGGAATCTGAGGCGCTGTTTTTGAAAGTCTCACAAGTGATTCTGCAAACTTCACCAATTGTGAACGTACCAACAGCTATTCGGCGGCTTCATGACCAGCGAGCCCACCAATCAATCAACAACTCAATTTGGAGCATTTCAATGGGTCATGTAGTGGTATTGAGTCAACGGGTTCAACATCTCTCTCACCCACTCCCTCTGTCCACAGTCTCCATGATCCGGCTCGCGGCACCCAGCGTACTTCCAAGGTCGAGAATGCAGCCATGGCTGTTGTCGCTTGCCGGTCGTCCTGGTCACTTCCCTCCAGCGCACCCTTGTCCACCTGGTTGCCCCAGTCCCGAATGTCCCCGTCCTTCTGCTGGTCTGCCCTATATTTCCCCAAGGCCGCGGCCTCAGGCCGATAGAAAACCCCAGTCCCCCGCTGGTGGTACCTGTTCACAACTGAAGGCTGGCACCGCCCGTACGTGCAGCACCAAGCCTACAAAACTGGAATGTTACCCCCACCAGCAGTTGCGGTTCAATCGGTACTGAAGGCTTGGGCCCGGTAGCCCTGGGCCAGCGCCCCGAATTATGTCAAATTCCAGATAGGCCATGCCGAACCAATAACCGTACCTGAACAATTGTTTCGAACTGCAGTGGCTTGTCTCGGCGTCGTGCAGGTGCCAATTAAGAGATCCGCAGCTGTCCCGAAGCCGACTAGAGTACCGTATCAGGAAATACCGACGTCGAAACGCCCAATACCGTGCCTGTTCCGAACCTGCAACTGATTCTCCCCTCGATGTCACCAATATCCTTGAGCACTGAAGGTGGGGACGAGTCCACTTAATAAATTCCAGAAATTCGGGTAAAATTGAGTTGGTGTTTATAAATGTCAGAAATCAATTTAAATCGATGAAGAGGGATAAATACGCGATTTTCGACAAAAAATCATGAAGAGTAGGATTTAATAAAATTTAGTTAAATATCGAATAATCGTTCTTTCCCTCCTCTTTCATCATTTTTTTTTAACGTTTTTTCCCATCTTTAATTTTGTTATTAGATTTAATGAAGATCGAGGGTTCACTTCCCCGCCAATTGGCCAGAGTAAAAAGGTTGCGCGAAGGCCTACACGTGTACCTTCACCTCACAGCTGGCTGAGTCGAAGTCCGCCTCAGAAAAGACGAAAAGGCTAGGTTTTTGGCGCGGTAGAGGTGGTTACCCAAGTTATGAATTTTGAGGGTTAGTACCAGCGGTTGATGCAGGGAATTTTCGAGTTCATCTCAGGACCCCTAATTTTCCCCGACAGTTCCGACAAGAGTACCCTAAGAATCTCAATAGGGCGTTCGGTTGACGGGCCAATCCGTTTGATTTCGGGTGGCCCGCTGGTCGCGGCCGCCCGACACCGGATCCAAGAGGGGTACTTGCTTATCCACATGCGAGGGAAGGACCTTCTTTGCGTACCGAGTGACTCTCACTTGCGTACACGGCTTCTTGGCAAGTTCCACGATGCTCCCGCCACTGGACACTTTGGAGTCAATCGAACGATTGGCTGACTTCGCGAGCGTTTTTGGTGGCCCGGCCTTCTCGGCGACGTCACACGCTATTGCGGGTCATGCGAGGTTTGCCGACGCTGCAAATCCCACAACCATCGTTCGTACGGCGAGTTGCGACCATACCCGGTCCCCTTGCGCCGGAGGGAAGCGATTGGCATGGACATTATCGGGCCGTTCCCCAAGCACAAGACCGGTGTGGATGGGATTCTCACGGTGGTCGACCGACTCACCAAGTTCGCCATGTTTTTGCCTTGCCGCTATCATGCCAAGGCACTGGAGTTGGCCAAGGTTCTTTACACCGGTTGGACTCGAACCAAGGGTTGCCCCAAGGAAATGGTCTGCGACCGCGACACTCGGTTCATGTTCGATTTTTGGTTGGCACTCGTCAAACGATGGGGCTCATCTCTCAAGCCGAGTTCGGCTCGCCACCCCCAAATCGATGGCCAAATGGAGAGGGCGCATCAGACCGCACAGGTTCTCCTTCGCACTCTCATCCGTCCCGACCAAAAGGATTGGGTTGAGCGGCTGCCGGATGTCGAGTTAGCATACAACTCATCCATCCACCCGACTATCGGATTGTCGCCCTTCGAGTTCGTGCACGGCTCGCCGGTCACTTTTCCGTTGGACACAATTATTCCACGAGCGGCCAAGAGCGACGACCATCTTCTTTTCTTGCGTCGGATGCAAGAGCTACTTGTCAAGGCACGCGACCAGATGACTAAGACGCAGCAACGCATGAGTCAACAGGCCAATCATGAGCGTCTTCCTCGTCCATTCCGCGCCGGCGACCTTGTTTGGGTTTCCATCGCGGAGTTCAGCCTCGAACAAGATATCTCTCGCAAGCTCCTCCCGAAATGGATGGGGCACTGCCCGATCGTGGCACCCGCTGGGGATGCACCCGAAGGATCTTCCTTCATCATTCAGGTGCCCGCCCACTTGCCCGTCTACCCGTTCTTTCATTGCTCCAAGTTGGCTCTTTACACGCCACTGGAACAGGACGATTTTCCCAGGCGACGATCGCAAGACCCACCCTCTGTGGACGGTTTTCAAAAGGTCGGCAACATCATCTCCCAGCGACGCTACGGCAACAGACCGACATAATACTTGGTACACTTTGCGTACTACACCCACAAAGCTGACCATTGGTTGACCCGTGCGGAACTCCAAGCAACAGCTCCAAATGTTCTCGCACGCTACAAAAGCAAGATGCAAGGCAAGCTGGTATCTTCAGCTTGACACCACACCCACATCCAGGTTCCACCTTCAGATCGCCAGCTTGGCCCTCGACCCGGCTTGACTTCATAAGGAGGGGGGGGTGTTACATGCTGCGCTTGCAAATGAGGGCCATTTTCAGGCCCTGGGTCGTTTCGGCCTCAAAGCCTGAAAACAAGGACCTACGGACCCTGTGTCGTTTCAGCCTAAAAGCCTGAAAACAAGGCCTACAGGCCCTGTGTCGTTTCAGCCTAAAACAGGGCCCTCCAGGCCCTGAGTCTTTTCAGCCTGAAACGGAGGGCCATTTTCATGCCCTCATAAGATCGATCTGCCCTGAAACTTACGCACCAGACCAGGGTATTAGCACAGGCAACCTTTGTTCGAACTTCAACACCAGGGTTTGGCACGTTTTGGCATTGGCAAGAGCAGCCTCCTGGACAGACCAGCACTATATAAGACTGGCCCGCCGTGCAGGCTGCAGGTAGTTCATAGGGGACTTCCCAGGCACTTCACGTGCATTTCAGGAGGCAGGAGGTAGTCTTCAGGATTCGGCAGCAGCACTCTGGAGGAGCGCTGCAGTAGTAGTAGTGGCGTTAGCAGTAGCCTTCAGTGCTGGGTGCTAGTAGGAGCTAGAGTAGCACTGGAGAGAGAGAGAGAGAGTTGGTGGAGACCAGGGAGACTTACCTGCAGCGCCATAGCTCCAGCTTCGCCTTCGAGGTAGCTGCAGCACGGCGCCATCTTCCGAGGTTAGTACCTGGCATATGAGAGAGAGAGAGAGAGAGAGAGAGAGAGAGAGAGAGAGAGAGAGAGAGAGAGAGAG